GTAGAGATGGCACAAGATCTAAATGGTACAGTTAAACAGGAGCTCAGTCTGTCTCACTCCAAACCCTGCTTCTCCCAGGGTAAGGAAAACACCCCCCACACACCTCTGGAAGGAATGTCTAGGTAATTGGTGCTTCCCCAGCCAATAAGAGTATCATTTCCTGTAAAGTCCTCCAGTGGTGCTACCACTAACTAGCTAAGGGAAAGATGAATGACCAAGAAGATCACCTGCAACAGCCCATAAAGCTTTTATGAAGGTGAGATGAGACCAAGCAAGTGACATGTCCAGCCAGAGCCTAGTGTGGAGCATGTATGCTGGCCAGGCCTTCTGCAGGAGCCTAAACTTCATCACCAGTCAAAACCCACGCCAGGGCAGCAGATTGGGGGTAGTCTAACACTAGCACTGGCCAGCGACAGCCTGAAAGCCTACAGAGCAGACACCTGTGAGGGTATCCTAGAGAGAACTGAACACAAGATGCCACAAGTCTGCTTGCTGTGCTGGCTAGGCAGGTGCTTTCTTCAAAAATGTGATTATATCGAATTCTTTTTTTTTTTTAATTTTATTTAAGGAGAAAAAGAAAAAAAAAACAGAAAAAGGGTACAAGTTATACAGAATTTCAGAAAGAATAAACAGTAGGGAATCACTAGTTAATAGATTACATATTCTCATCTTAGAAATAGTTGTTCAAGTTACAAAATTAAAGCATATAAAGTGGACTTTCAAACAGTGAGACTACAAACAGTTTTGTTCAATGATCCAACAAAACTCAGTAATATGGTTATCTATCTTTTACACTTAAATATATACGCAGTTATATCCTTTAGAGCACTTTCTTTTCCTCTCTTTTGCACAATGACAATTACACATTTTGGGTTTTATTACCCCCACAGTTCTTACTACTTTTTTTTGAAGAGACTAAAACCAAATGTGATATAACAGAACAGAGTCAATCAAATCAAAAGGATGGACATAACAGATAATGTAAAAGCAAAATACCAGGTGATCAACAATGGTTACCATACTGCCTCTTGCTATCTTAAAAAGAACTGCCTATATTATCAGTTATAATAAAATTGAACAAAACAGTAAAGAATAAACCAAAACACTGGAGACATTACAGGACTTTAAAAGAAGATAATAGTCAACCAGAATGGGCATCATAATGAATCTTATTTTCTTCACAGTTGTTGCCTATACTTTCGAACTTGGTACTATCAAGCAAAGCAAAATAGGGGAAAATCAGTCAAAACAAGATGGTGAGGGCTATACAGGGTTTCAAATCAAGTTAATAGGAAATCAAAGTGAGTTACTATAATGTATCCTGCTATTTTTTATTTTTCCCTTAATTAAAAAGATAAAAATAAAAAATTAAATAATTAAAAAAAGGAGATTGAGATAAAAGAGGGCATAACAACAAAACAGCACAGGTCAAAGCATAACCATTTAAGCAAAATAGTGTTTCACCACAAAATATCCTGACATAAAAGTAGTTACCATAGTGTCTCTTTCCTTGAAATCTTTGAGTATAACTTTGTATACTGTAGCACCAAATATATCAAGACAATGTAAAAGCATTCAAGAAAATGACAGTATTACAGGGTATTTAGAACCAACTACCAGAAAATGAACAATAGTTTCTGTATAATTCCATGTCTATAAAAGTTTTTGCTTATATTATCACATATAATAAAATCCAGTAAGATACAACCTGTTAAGACCGATGGAGACAGAAGAATAAAAGCTTGATGGGACTTCAAAACAAGATGATATTAAATCAGCACTAGCTATTATGATGTCTTGTTTTCTCCAAAAAGCTGTTCCTACCATCCAATCTTCTCTGCCTCATTTCTGTTGAGCTCTTTTTCTGTCGTTTGTTGTCAGTTTGTCTTCTTCATTTCGCTTTCTCTTCCATTCATTGTGGCCTCTCTGCCACTGTTTCTGGGATCTTGGTATTTTCCTTTTTTAGAATATCCTGCAGTATTCTCTGTAGAGTTGCAAATTGCCCTAGTTCCTCTTTATCCTGGAAGCACCTTGTTTTTCCATTAATTTCTAGGGACAGTTGTGCAGGATATATCAATCCTGGTTGGAGGTTATTATCTTTCAAAGCTTGAATTATTTCCCCCCACGCTCTTCATGATTTGATGGTTTGTGCTGAGAAGTCTGCTGTAATTCTGATGGGTGTTCTCTTGTAAGTGATCTGTTTCTTGTCTCTGGTGGTTTTCAATATTCTGTTCTTATATTGGATTTCTGGAATTTTGATTATTATATGCCTGAGTGTAGCTCTGTTTGGGTTGTAGGTGGCTGGGGTCCTGCATGCTTCATACATCTGAGTATCTTTACCTTTTGCTAAATTAGAGAAATTCTCTTGGATTATTTCTGTGAATAGCTTTTGTAGTCCATTTGTTTGTGTCCCTACTTCTTCTTTTATGTTAATTCTTAAGTTATAGATCCTCTTATCATCTTCTAGCCTTTGTATTTTTGCTGTTTGTTTTCTTGTTATTTTTAAGAAGTTTTTCATTTCATGCTCCCACATCACAAATCTGTCCTCCAGTTCAGATAATCTATGCTTAGTTTCTTTCAAGCTGTTATGCCAGCTTTCAATAGAGTTTTTAGTTTCCTGGTAATCTCTTTGTACTTGCTTCATGTATTCTATGTTTTCTCTATTTTCTCCATCAAACAATTCTCCCCTTTTTTTCTGTTCTTCCATTTCACCATCTGTTTTTTCTTGGGCGGTGCCTAACTATTCTACTTATGTCTTGCTTTATTTCGTTAAATACTTCGCTTTTGAACTCGTCTATGAGGCTCCAGAGATATTGCTTTATGTCTATTGGTGCCATGTCTGATACTGCATGTTTTCTTTCCTCATTCTCCTTTGCATTCACCTTTCCTGGATCAGTGTTCTCAGGATTGGGGACTGAGGACCCTTTCTTGTTGCTTCCTCTTCCTATACTTTTTGTTCCTTCCATACAAGCGAATATAGGAGGCCCAGTTTTTTTTCTCTTTGTCTGTTACAGTTTGTTTGAATTGTGCTGGCTAGGTGTTCCCGCCCACAGCAGTGTACTAGGGAGACACAACCTGGGCAGCCTCTGCTGGGCCCACCCCTCCAGGTCACCTACTTAAGGCTTCACTGCTATGGTGCACCTCTAGGCGCTGGGACCTGGTTTGGGCTAGCTTACTGGGTCTTAGTCAGCAGCATCACCCAGGCCAGGCACTCCCCACCAATCCCACTTGAGAGGGGAATATACAACTAAAGTTACTGCAGCGTCCTATTCCGGCAAGTCTGCCCGGTCCCAGTATGTCCTTTGCTGAAGCCTCCTACTCTATGGAAGGGTCCCTGTTCTGCTCACTCACCACAGCTTGATGCAGGGCTCCCTGCCAGTCCCACTCTCAACTCTGTTCACTGGTTCCCACTCTCAGAGTTTTCGCACATCTCTCTCCTTGCTGTGCCAATTCAGATGCAGCAGCGGTAGCAGAAAATTCAAATTGTGGCTTCCAGCGGCGCGGGCTCCAGCTTCTGCACTGAGACCTTATCTGTTCCTGTTATAGCACTGGGATTGCATTTCCAGTTGGTTTCTCTTAGCTTAGTTCGTTCCTGGGTCAGCAGGGTACATCTCCCCCTGCTTAGGACTCCTCGCACCGCACCATTCCTGGACTCTAAGCGGGTATCTCAGAGAGCCTCTGTTGCTGCTGCTATCTATCTGCCATGTTCTCCCGGAAGTCTATACCGAATTCTTAACACTCAAGAGATTCAGAACACAAATGTGGAAGACTTAAGATCAGAGCCCATGTGCTTGCCTGACAACTGGCTGAGACGGACAAGCTCCCATCCACTAAAAGGAACTCCTCCATCCAGCCTACCATGCTCACATAGCAGCCAAATGTGCCTTCTTAGCTCACATTCCCCACAGGCATTTTTATAAAGTCCTCAGAGAGACAGTGGTTATCTTCTAACTCTGATGCCGAGGTTACAAACCTGATGTTTAGGAAGCATTCTGCTTGTGCATACGAATTATGGTCACCTAATTCCCTGGGATAACAAACCAGAACACCCACTGGGCATGTCCCTCAAGGGCTCATGCTTCAAAAATGTTAGGTATCAATGACTGGGAAGAGTCACCCTCACAGTCACAAAAACAGAATGCTTCAGTCTTTTTTTCCCACTGAAGCAACACTCAACAATGATCTAAGTCTTAGCCCAGTGAAAATACAGACATACTACAATGCCTGGGCCTTTGCCAACAGTCGTGGGCAGTAGTTAATGACTCTATCTATACAGACAAGAATTGAAAACTTTCATTGAACACATGATGCATGCCACCCCTTGTTCTTAAGATTTTTTTCCTACCCCACAGCAACCTTAAGAAGTGATCAGAGAAACTGAGGCACAGAGAGATGAAAGTACAGTTCTTTCTGATTCCAACACCCAAGCAGCAGTCATGGATGAACTAGAAAAAATATGAAAGGGAAAACAGCTCATAAAGGATTAATTTAAAAGATACAAATGTACTGAACGTTTCTCCTTTTTTTTTTTTTTTTTTTTGTTTTAAGGAAAACAACCTGTAGTATTTCCTCACATAGGAATGACTCCCAGCAGATATAATGAGAAGAGAATTTTAGTTCAAGCTCAACATAAAACAGCAGAGTCACAACTACAATGATATTTTTTAAGCTGTTGTAGAAACTGGAGGAGATTCCAGCAGGGCTGATTTCTCTCGCCAACAGTCAAGCAGCCATTTCCAGGGCTCCCAGGAATAATTCTCAAGGAAAGCTTTCTTTTACTTCTTTCTAATGGGCCTGCACAAGGTTTGCTGAAGCCCCCTCACAGCCACCAGAGCACAGCCTAATTACCTAATTGCATGACTGGCAAGATTCCTTCCAAGCCATTTAAGGAGCTCTCTCAGGTATGTTGTGCAGCATGCCCATCTAAATCCATTTAGCAAAGCGAGTGCATTCTCCCCTCAAACCAGAGTGACAAAGCCATGCCTGGGCCCCACACCTACCTGGATTCCAGTGACAGCATGGCTCTCTCATTGAAGAGAGGGCCAAGTAGGCCCAAGAGCTTGACACCCTCTAGATTCTGGTCTCCAGGGAAGCCGGCCTTATTAGCTCCATCATACACTAAAATATTGGAATCCGTGTGCCTTGAATATCCATTTTTACAGCTTCCTTTGGCACAATCTTCCATAATCTGTAAACAAAAGTACTTGATCAAATACTGAGACATGAAAGAGGAGGAAGGAATACCTGGAGAAAAGGGAAAGGATGGAGATGCAGGGCAAATGAGCACAAATAAGAAGAGGGAAATGCAAGAGGACAAGGAAAGAAAAAGAGGGTTGCAGACGTATAGGTCAATACACACTCACTTTCCTCATCTATAAAACGAGGATAGCAATGCACCTCCCAAAGTGGTCTGGAGAATAAAACATAGCAAATGTCTTACTTTCTAAAGGTACATGATGGACATGTGTTCTCCCACCCAATAGCTAGCTCCTTAAAAGTTCTTCCTGAGGAGGTCATGGAATCCATGTCATCAATAGTGCTTTGTACATTTATTATATACCTCTTGCCCATACTAGAAAACCAACTTGCTCTTTACAGACACATATTAATTAACATGGCTTTGAAGTGTCTCATTAGGAAGGTGGAGAGTTCCTAATTCCCATGGAGATGTTATTTACATATCCACCTTCTTGGGTCACTGAAAGTCCCAGAAGAGTGGCACCAAGGCAGCATCCAGTTAAAGCCTGTTCTGGGCATGTTTTGTGATGCTCCAATTAGCATTCTCTCTCCCCTACCCAAAGCTGTAAATTTCTTCTACCATCTATAAATAACTCCTCTTGACTTCATTGCTGCCAGTGATATACACACTAGCCATCGCCCCCATCTCTCCACACGGGAAAAATGACTATGACTCTTTAAAATAGAAGACAAGACCCACACAAATGAGCTGTTATTTATAGCTCTTGTTTGCCACCAATCTAATTATTAAATCCATCATACAAGCAACTTCCAAAAGTGGAGCAGTCTAGAGTGGAATAATAAAAATAGAAACATTATCACTTACTGAGCACTTATTACATGACTTTCTTTTTAAATATTACAATAATCCTAAAGGAAGCATTAGTATCCTCACTGATGAGGCAACTCAGGCTTAGAAATTAAGCAAGAGTGAACTAAAATCACCAGAGAGCAGTGCCACAGCCAGGACTCAGAATCAGGCCCATCAGATTCCAAAGCCCCTGCTTTCAGTTGCTTTGCTCTCTGAAACTATGTCCATTATAGTATCTCCTGTTTGTGACACCACAAACCTGAACACTGAAGACTGAAAATGCCACACTTGTAGCCTCCTATCTCCTACCACAGCTCAGTCCACAGGATTTTTCCAACCCTGGAGACCATATACTCCAACTAATCAGTTGGAGTATGACAGGAAGAGCATTCTACATGGATGGGATCAAATTTGCACCACGCCCAGGTAACACCAGGGGACTGAAGGGCACTTACTTCCATCCATGTCCCTTACACTGCATTCAAGTGATCTGAGAGTTCATGGCTGTCTACACTTGAGGGTTCTTATCCCAGCCCTGACAATGACTTACTACTGTGAGCTGCGAATCAATCATCTCCTATCAAAAGCCTCAGTTTCCCAATGATAAAATGAACACGCTAAATTAGATGTCTAAACATCTATCCAGGTCCAACATCCAATCCCTGTTATTCTATTCTTTTTATTGGCAATGACACATTTGTTCTCATGTTTCATGACTAGTTCTATCATCCAGTTTAAAACTTCTGATAGCAAAAAAACTGGCACACAGCAAGCAGTCAATACAGGCAGACAAACAGGACACATTCCAGACACACTCCAACTGAAGGCTGGCTCCTGAAGGGAGGGGGTGCAAAGAAGATATGTTCCTACCTCATTACTTGGCTCCAAATGCTTGTCACTTTGGAAATTATTCTCATCATCCTCTTCATCTTTGATAGAGTCCTTGTCCTCCTTGCTAGGCAGAAGCTACATGGAGCATGTAATGATATGAAAATGCAACCCAAAACAAAGTGCAGCATGAATATGTATGAATAAGTCACTGGTGTCTTTTTAAAAATGTAGAACAAATAAACAGACAAACAAAAAAGAGGCAGGAACAAATGCCAAAGCCATGAAATAAAAATTAACCAAAGTTAAGAGTTGCTAATTCTAGCAAATCACACATACAGCTATCCAGGATCAAGTAAAATTTAAGGACAGGTTTCCCAAGAAAGAGTGAAAGGCATCTCGTGTACCCTTGCTTTCCACACTGCTGGACAACAACTAAGCTGCCTGTTGTGCTACTGCCAATTCTGCCACTGCTAAATCCACTTTCACATTATATAAAAGTAAAGAGATTCTAGAAAACAGCTATTGATGGAATTGAAAATACTAAACAGCAAAAAAAAAAAAAAAAGCAGCTAGTGAAATTTATAGTGTGCCCATTTATGCATCACTTCTCCTATTTAACACAGCACATAAACCTCTTGTCAGACTGTCACACATCTGAGATGGACAGTCCCAGCCACACTGTCATTTTACTGACAAAATGTCCTCATCATTAATGAGAAGAGTACTGAGTTTGTCTGATGGTAACTTTATACTTTTGGATATGAAGGACAGCTATTTATAAAGACTGCATAAATCTAACACTTCAAAGAAGTATAGATGTCAAAACTTCTGTGTTCTTCATTCTGCAGAATGGACAGCACGAAGTTCTCAGGAAAGCCAGACCTCAGCTTGCCAGAAAAGTAGATTCTAGTCATGGAACACTTGCATAACCAAAGGGAAAATGAGAGGAAGGGGATCAAATGCAGCTGTTTCAGAATCACAGCAAAACTGTCTCACTAATCAGTGGTGAGCTCTGCACTAAAGATGCTAAACCAGAGTGCCAGGTTGCATATTGGGTAGCTCCACATATGAGACACTTAGGGTTCTATAGCTACAGTTATGTTTTATGAGTTCCTACATTTAGTCCATTATGTTCATAACTCTCTCAGCCCAACTTAAAGTCTTCTGATCTGCTTAGAGGAAAACCTTATTTTGGAAGAAAAAAACCCAACTTTAGAACATTATTTTACAGAAAATTCTCGGGGCCAGAACATATTCATTCTACCCACATCCAATCTGTGATCAGGATCAAAAAGAACTGGTGATCAAAACCCATATCTTATTATCCCATCAAGCATTAAAGAGACCAGATATGCATAATTATATTTAATAAAGCATAAAAGTTTACAAATATGGGTGAGGAAATCTCTGCTTCTATTTGTTTCTCCCTCATTATTAAAACATTTTCAAGTGATACAGACCGTCTAGAACTATCAAACTTATTGGTGGGAATATAAAAATGTTAATCCACCTTGGAAAAAGTAACGGTGATTCCTTACAAAACTAATAACCCTATGACCCAGGAAGTTTATGCATAGGCATTCATCATGAGGGGAAAAAGTGATATGATAACAAAAAGAACTGTGTTTGAATGTTCTTATTACCCTTTACGCAAAGAAAGAAAAAATTCAATACATTCATAGAATGGAACAACAAAAAAGAACAAAGTGTTGATTCACATAAAGACATGAATGAATCTCAAAAACACGGAGAGTGAAAAAAGTTTACACAAAAGAGAAAATACTATACAATTCTGTTTATATGAAGGTCTGCCATAGCATAGGAAACATTAATCATAGAAGACAAAATCATAGAAGAAGCTGAAATACGTGGAGAATCAGGCTGACAAAAAGGGACACAAAGAATCTTGATAAGGATCTGATACTTGTAAACCTCAGTCAATACTGGCTTAAATCTCTGTTCTTCATCATATATTAGAAAAGGTAACTACAAACATACTGAAGTTAAAGATATAAATGCTGAAGTAATTAAGGAAAATACACTGGTATTTGCAATTTTAATTAAAATTTATCAAAAAAGGTAAAGCATAGTGATGACGGATATATGTGGAAATGTTAACAGAATCTAGGTGGACAATCAAGTGTTTCATGATCTCCTTTACAAGTGGAATATAAAAAGCTGGTCTCTTAGAACTTGTGAGTAGAATGCGGTTCCCAGGAAGTAGGGTGAGTTACAGTTTAATCCCTAATTTGTCCATTTCATAATGTACATGTACTGAAACATCACTGAGTACCCCCCTTGATATTTATAATTTTTATTTTTTTATAAATCAGCTACAAATAAATTTCCTTTTTCAAAAAGGTAAGATTGAGTGATGATGGACTGTGGCCACTGAGCACTCTCCCTCCTAGCTTCTGGAAAAGAGTCACATCTCACTTTCTGCCATGAGGGTTTTCCTGCCACCACTCTCCAGACACTGCCTATGCCAGGTCCCCAAAGACCTCTAGCACAGGAGTAAAATCCCAGTAGGGTCAGGGAGAAGGAATGAAGAAGCCCCTTGGTACCTACTGTGGACAGAAGAGTTCACCCAAGTGTAGCTGAGCAAATTATCATTAATACGTTTCATTCCAAGTTCAAGTATCGAAAAATCTCAGTTATTCTGCCTTTCCAGAATCACAACTATGCCATTCCTCAAGACACAGTAACCTGCATGCCTCCAACTCTGCTGACTTGGTTAAATTAAAAGTAAATGCTCAGTTTCCAGCAATCATCAAGAAATTAAATGTGTGGACACAGGGAAATATCCCTAACATCAATGTGACTCAGCAGTTTTTAAAGACAAAGGACAAGATGTCAGAACAAACTGTGAGTCACTGTATCCAGGCTCTGCTTCGACCCTGCCACCAGCCAGAGAGAGGACCCACCGCTCCCAGTGTGGACCTGCACCAGCTCATCTCCATCTCCATCTCCACCTCCATCTCCCTGCTCCTCCTCATCCTCCAGTCACTGCAAGCTGGCTCCTCCTCTTACTCTCAGGAAACTGACTAGGTCATGGGACTTGGTTGGGTTTTTTTCACTCTTGCCTTTTCAGAGAATCTGACACAACATGCCCTCCTCAAAACACCACACTGTGACTCCATTGTCTCCTGGTTCTCCCTGGGCTCTTTCTGTCCCTTCCCCCTTCCTGGCAGGCCAGGCTAACACCCAGCTCCAGGATCCTTGGGACTCTGCAATCCTCTAGCAACATCACCGGGGCAACTGGCTGTTTCTCAGTTATGCACTAGACAAGAACAGGGTTCACATCTTGGTTCATAGTTTTAATATCAATGCCTAGTGCTCAATAAAACACTGCTGAAAGAACAAACGTAGAAGTAAATACATTTTTCCAAATGAGAATTGGAACCAACTGGTTTTCAGGATTACTTTGGTTCTTGCTACTGATAATGTGTTCCTCAGAGTAACAGAAGCATCATTACTCAGAAGCTTCTCAGAAATACGGGTTCTCGGGCACCAGGCCAGGTTGATGAAGCAGAATCTGCATCTTAACAAGGTCATCAGCAAAGCCACAAACCCATAAAAGTTTAGAAGCACTGCCCATTGTGTTATAAGGACAGCTCCAAAGAGAGCCAGAAAAGGGTTATGATTCTGACTCTACCACGGACTCACTAAAGAAAAAAAAAGTAAAATGGAATAGCTGTGTTTTACTGAGTGCCTGCTACATGCCAGGCGCCATGCCAAGGCCTTTTAAGCCAAGTGAAACTCCTAAGTAAAAACTTCTAAAGTTGAATAGTTAGAATATTCCTCCTTTTAATGAAATTAAATTTACTCTGACAAACCAAATTATCCTGTTACTCTTAATAGAACATTTAATAAGCACTTTCTACTTCTGAGTAGCATTTCTGTCCTTTAGAGCACACAAGGTCTACTTCTTGTTCAACATGACAACCCTACAAATAGCTGCACTCAATTAAATTATGCTCATCTAGCCATGCTTTCTTTCCATGCCAATTTAAAAAAAAAAAAAAAAGCGCTTCCTAACCATGCTATGGATGACAATACAATGGTCCAAGTAGTAACTGACCTTTGCTGCGCACTTCAACGTACCCGTGCCTTATACTACATATCCTTAGCACCTACAGATGGCAGGTCCATGTGTGTATAGTTCATGGTTTTCAATGCTTACCACCTTGCCTGTAGCCCGCTGCAATCACTCCTGTGTGGCAAATCTCAACCTTCTATAACATCACTTAATAATCAACAAATACATCATAAGCAAGTCATGATGGCACATGCCCATAACTGCGATACTCTGTGAGGCTGATACAAGAGCATCACAAGGTCAAACCCATCCTGGGCAATTTAGCAAGACACTATCTCAAAATAAAAAAGAGCTGAGGTATGTAGGTCAATGGGAAGACCTTGGGTTGAATCAAATAAATGCATATATACATAGACGCATAAAGAAAATAAGGGGCATTTGATAAGAAGTTTTCAAATACATACTGAAACAAAAGTATAGGTGGTTCTGGACTTTGTTTGTTTGGTGGAGCCAGCAATGAGGGAATAAGTACCCTAGCTCCCAGGCTGGTACACTGTACCAGCACAGCCATAATAAAGAAAAACCGGACAAACTCTGCCAGGGTCCTCAATAACTTCTACCCTTTTGCAAATTGGAAGTTGCAGAGGGTGTGTGAAAAGGAATGCTGTGCTTACTGCATATCTCTATCTTGTCCTTTGACCTAGTAACTACATGTACAGGAATATAATCTAAGAAACAAAACCTTACACACAAAAAAAGATTTGTGTACAGAAACTGTAAGTATGTATCTTACAACGGTGAATCACTTGAAACCATCTACTTGTCCAAAGGTGAGGCTGTTAAATTCCAGTGCGTTCAGAAGATGGCAGAAGATGCTATGATTTAATGGCAGTTGGGAAAAAGCAGGATAAAAACTGTATTATGGTATAAGTGTGTGTATGCATGCTAATGTGCAAAGAACAATTCCAAAATGCTAATTAATTATACCTGTTTTAAAGTGACAGAACTAGGGGTCATTTCTTTTCTCTGTTCTTTGAAATTTAAAAACAGAAAAAACATTCTCATTTATATTCTCCCTCTCTCACTCCTTCTCCCCCTCTCCCTCTTTCTTTCTGATTTATATGCTCCTGGTGAGCAGGAATCATTCCTAGCCCCCACTCTGCAAGTCCTGCCACTCAGAAAATGCTGTGGACAACATAAGCATTTTGGGTTTATTTCTGGCTTCTCATTGAAGGTGACCCATAAGCTCTCCTGGGGAACAGTGGGCCCGCCTCTGTCATCCCCTCTCACCCTAGTACCCCCTCCTCTCTCAGCTCCAAATTACAATGGGCACCTCATCTTTCCCACGCAGATCTTCCTGTCCCATTTGAGGGTGGGGGGGACAGGTAACTGTGCTATAAAAGACAAGGCTATTCACAGGGAACATCAAATTGAAGTGCAATCTTTCAAATGACTCAAACCTGAATCGGCTGGTATTAAGATCTTAGAGTGGGCAGAGGAAAAAAGCCTCTGTTCTCCAAATGACATAATGGGACATTTAACAGATTTTCTTCAAAGGGCAAATGAACAAACAAAACTCACCACTTATGACCCAAATGGAGTCAGTGAAGAACAAGCTGCTTATTAAAAATACTGCCTTGGAGGAAGCAAACCAGGAGACTTGGTTCTCCCTAAATGGCTTGCAGTTACTCTTGGTTTTCAAAATTATCTGGAGCCCTGAAGGCTAAGATCAATAATATTCCCTGTCTCAAAAGAGAGCAGATGGCCAGAGCACAGCATAAATACCTTTGAGCAGTTCCTTCTCTGAAGGTGGGAGGAGACAGCTTAAGGCTGACAAATCTTTTCCAGGAAACCATGTGACAATAAACGTGAGACCTGCATTTACTAGGCATTTCAGGCTCAGTTCAGGACAACCCCAAGCAAGAAGATTCTTGTTTTGCTTATGAGAGACCCAAGGACAGAATGGACTTTCTGAATGCAGGTGAGAGTAGTTTTAGTCTCGTAAAATGGCACTAATGCATGGAACAAGGTTCTCCATAGGGGTGAGTTAGGAAAGTGAGGGGCTAAAAAGAGGAAACAACTGGATCTACCGCACTATCACAGCCTCCGGGACTGCTACCATGTGGCACAGGCTAAGAAGAGAGAAAACCTGAGACAACACATCACAAAGATCAGGCTCAAGACCCAGGAGGCTTCAGGGTGAATCCCCAGGTGGTATGGACATCTGTTTTTCAGTGTTAACAGATTCATTAAGGCTGCATCTACACTATACAAATTATTTGGGTGATTTGGCAATTCTCCAGGCCTTTCGGATCCCACATCGGTCACCCAGATGTGCCACTGCCAGCAGGATCCCAGCGTTGGACCACAGTCCAAAGCATCACAATATACTAAACATATCCATGAAGAAATAACCCAAACAAGAGGAAGTGAGAGGACAGACCTGCTGACCTAATCAGCCTGCAAAGCCCCATCCAATAAAAAGGGAATTTCCAAGCAGAGCTCCCTAGAGCAGATGCAGTCTTGAGAAATCTCTTGGGTTGTTATATTTGTGCAATAGCACAAGACAACAGGAATGTTACTTCTTACCTCTCTTTGTTCTGTTGACTCGGCTCCCTCATTTTCCTGGAAACTCATACAGGAAAGATCAAAAATGGTTTTCTTCAAGTGCTGGTTGTCTGTGTACAGTTCCTTAACAAGCTGTATGAGGTCGCTGACCTGGGAGACAGGAGCAGGGGGGACAGAGCCACCACTTTAAGGCAAAGAGATCCTAGGCAAGCTGTCTAATGTGAGCCTCTGCTTCTTCATTTGTGGGTGGGCCACTATGAGAATTTCCCATGATCTAATATCCTCAACACAGCTTCAGTGCTCAGTCAACAAGAGCTAACAGGGGACCCTCTGGAGGCAAAGTCTCCATGGCTGAAGTTTCTACAATTGTGTCAGTCCTGATTTTATGGCATAGACCCTCTTCGTATACCTATCTAGCAATGTCAGTAATAAAAACAGCTGTCTATTACACAGCAATGTATAGCGAAAAACTCCTGCAAGCTTTAGTCAGTCATTTCCAGCAAAAGACCTATAAAGCCCATCCCTGCTTTCTAACAAGGAACAGAGAAGCTAACTGTCCAGCGCCTATAACCAGGCTGTCAGGAGCACAAGGTAATAACAATGGCCTAAGTGCCAGCTTCCGGGGAGGAGAGCAGCTACTTCCTGAGACCTGAGGGACACAGGCAACTGAGCTGATACCTTGGCTCCCCGCAAGCTTCAAATAATTTTAAAGTATCCAGTCATTTTTCAACACTTAAAAGGGACAATCATAAGCTCTTCAAATAGAGTAGAAAGTCCCACCTTGATTACACATGGTAGATGTCCAATACATCAAAATATGAATAAAAATTAATCCAATCCTCATGGAAGATATGGTAGGTAAGTACCAAGCAAGCAAACTGCCTGGTGCCCTGACCAGGATCACACTAGGTACTAGCCAGCAGCTAGGATTATATTCTTTTCCTCCTCATCAAAAACTAACAGCTGCCTCAAGGCTCTTTGACCTACTCCTCCGCAGGTACCCCAATTTTTATAACTCTCTTTGTTACTTCTTCTGAGCCTTAAGAGACTTCCTTCTCTCTGCTGAGAAAATTCTCCACTTGGACAAACTCCTATTCATCTTTCAAAACCCACTTCAAGGCTCACTTCTGTTCAGATGCCTCTCCTCACCAAGTAAAGTGTGATTACTATATAATCTCTCCTCTGTTACCTCTATATCTTGCAAGCTGACTCTCACAGCAACCTAAAAGTTTGTGTGCCTGTTTTCTCTGCTAGGATGTGAATGATTCTATAAAAGAAACTAAACCTCAATTGCTGATCTAAGATAATTTTGCAGTAAATCACGTGGACTCCTCCATGCTCACACGTCCTATTTATGTAGAACCTTGAGACATATACAGCATTAACCATACCACCAATGGGCAGATGGAGAAACCTTTTCAATTTATAAAAAATAGATATACTGATCACACTTGGAGCTATAATTATTCAAAACCTTTTATTAACTCCTGCTATGTGCATGAGGTCTTGGGATATCAGAAACAAGCCATGATCATTGATTTTAAGATATTCATAGCCCACATAGAGATGAAGAACCAAAAAACCACAGATCCGTACAAGAAGGACATCAGCATGTAACACACAGAGAGGAGAGGGGAATGCGTGGAGGAGAAAGTTGTTCACCCTTCCTAGAGGAGCCTGGGAGCTTTTCTTCTAGGGGTGCAGATCCAGGGTGGGGTCTTCACTCTGAGCAGTGTGCTCAAGAGCCAGAGCAGGGTGACAGGGAGGGGAAGACAGGAGAGGAAACGGACTTTCACATCCCCATGGCCAGGAAACCAAGAGGCAACAAATAAAGGCACTAAAAGTTAATAGCTCAATACCTTTTTCTTAAGTTCTTCTTGAGAAAAATGCTCCACTTGAAACCGATTGTGCTCGTCAAGGCAAATACTTAGATAAGATGTTTGATCACTATAAAATGAAAATGGTTCTTCTGTCCAAAATAAAAAGTAAAATAAAATAAAATAAAATAAAAAAAGATGGGGAGGGGGAGGAGAAAAAGAATTTCAGAAACAGATCTTTTCAAGATGATTCCCAGTGCAATCCATCTACAGCAACTTGAATGGGGAGGGGCGGGGAGACAGAAGCACACACTGGGGGGTTACAGCACCACCTTTGGAGCAAAAGTAATTTTCCTCGCTCTCCAGGCTGGTATCTCAATATAATACAGCTTCATCTTGGGCTGTAGGTTTTTCACTATGGCCAGTGCTGAATTACAATTTGCATATCAAGTGCTGTGCCTGAAGACCATTCTGAATGGCACAAACAAATGGTGATATCAGTTTAAATGAGCGAGTGATTCTGTGCAGGTGAGAATACAGGAAAATTAGATGTGACCCAAAGTACCCTTTGGGTACTCAAGGAACTCAAAGGAAATAAATGTGCCTGATGTATTTTCACTAGCTTCAGAGCCCACCTAGGAAGTGAGTACACCAAGTGCAAAAAGTGCCTGCTAGAGCCAAGGTCACCTACATGTCAGGGTCTGCGCCTCCTCCTCCTCCTCCTCCGAAGCAAATGGCAATTCTAATAGCAGGGGGCGGGGAGCAGAGGGAGGACATTTAGTGAGTGGGACACATTCCAAAAGCATCGCATTTAACATGGGTGAGTCCCACTGCACCTGTATTACATACAGGAAACTAGAGAGAGCTAGACCCCCAAGGGGCAGGCACTGGCTCAAATCGGAACCAATCAATTCTCCCCCACCCCCTCAGCTCCCATTCTCCATCTTTAAAATGAAATTAATAAATGTGTTACCCAATGAAATGATTGTGAGGATCACTGCTGAGAATGGAAGGGCCCAGCACTCTACCTGGTACACAGACAGACACACAGTAGGTACCCAAGATATGTCAAACCCACCACGATCACCAATATTTACCACATGTCTGAGGCCTCAAGCTACAGAAAGGAATAAAATACCAACCCACACCCCAGGGGGATCTGGGTCTGGCAAGGGACAGGGCTAAGCACACCATGATTAGCCCAACAGCGTCAGCTCCAAGCCCGCTCATGTTATAGCCCTCCCTGAACAAGTCACAACACTAAAAATGTTGTTTCCACAGGAAACAGTAAGCTCAGCCCAATGCCTGTGCTGTCTGGAGCTCTCCGCAAGAGGTACAAGGCAAGCAGGGCGCAGTCAACACCTCCTAGGGGTATTGAGCATACAGAGAGATCTGCAAGTCCTCAAGGTTACCTGACTCTAGGCAGCACACGATACAGAAAATAGTAAAAGTGGCCGTGAAGCGAGCCTCAACAGATCCTCTCAGAATGACTACAATTTGGTGGGCCCTTCTGCCAGGAAAGGAGAAGCCAGCCAGTTAGATGACACGGCAACATCCACACAGCCATGACAATAACAGATCTCCAGGTAAAATACTATGGCTGCCCCAACTCCTCTTATGAAAGTTCAGCCAAGACTCTCCAAATAGAAGAACCAAACAGACGTATACACAGAAGACAATGTGTACCTTCCCGCCTCCGGATTTCACTGATCTGCTCCTCCAGAACCTTCTGTAAATTCCGATAGGAGAGCACATCCCGCTCCAGCTGCTTCCGTAGGGCAAAAATGGCATTTAACTCAGCATGCAGACTGTCGATGCTTGATGAAACAAGATACCAGACACTGTCAGACAGGCCTGTTTGTGCCATCACATGCAAAGTCCAGCAAGTCTTTCTGTGATTTCTATGTCACTTGTGTTTTTTAATAAATACATGATTACTACAGAAAATTAAAAGTATAAAGAAAATGAAAATTGTTTTCAAAAGTATAAAAAACCAAAAATGATCCCATTCCCAATTAATACACAGCAGCCTACATTTCCCCTTAATCTTTTTCTCTACAAGCATTTTCACAAGGTGGAAATAATAATGGGTGTGCAATGCTGAACTGTGCATCCCTGCTTTAAATACTAATCTATAGTTCTACAAATTATTTACAACATATTTGATGATCATGTAATATTAAATCTGGTGAATAACCCACCAGTTACTGTAACTATGAGTGGACATTTGGGTCATTTCTGAGTTTTTGCTAGATGAAATTAGGTGAAACAATCTAGTTCTCTAGGATGTATGTGCCTCTGTTTGGAATAATGACCGCCACGAGAAGGATGAGAGTAGAGGGAGAGGCTCCAGGGCCGGGGAGTTACCTGGCCCGTGGACTTCAAACGAGAAAGACAGAGGATCTCTGTTGTGTTCCCATCAAAGAGGTCACACTGGGGGAAAGAGTAAGGGACAGGAGGAAAATAAAAGTCAAGGAAGAAGAGTGAGTTAATGCTAAAAGAGCAAAGGATAAAGTTAGGGGCCAAAAGAACTTCACTCTAGTGGATTAGCGCCCCCAGAAACGTACAGTGTAACTGGATTTTTAGTTTTAGTAGGGGAGGGAAAAATTTAAAGTAAGCTGAACCTTAAATAACCACATATCTACTGATCATTCTACTGGACAGTTGCAGGTCCATGGTGCGGTCTGATGTTATTTCCTTAAAAAAAGGATTCCCAGCAGTGAAATTAGTGGGTCAAAGCATGTGAATATTTTTAAAGCCACTAAAACACCTTAACAAATCAGAAGGCTTCCTTTTCTGCACACTGACAATATATCACTCTCTGGCCAGTGTTGGGCCATTGTTTGAGAGGATTCATCAACACTTTGAAACTATCTGCAGAAATTTAATATAAGGATATTCCTAAGATGAGGGTCCAAAGCTTTATCACATTTTTCCAGAGGGGCTGAGAACCTCAAAACGGCTAGGAGCTATTGCTCTGAATACATGTGCCAAGTATTCAAGCCTCATTTTTCCTTCAGAGATTTTCTTTTCCAGTCCATGTATCTAACTGTACACATAAATCAACATACCCTGGAAGAAAAATAAACCATTAGTGCCTAATATTCCACGCCTGCTGCTTTGAGGACGGTGCACTGTGAAGCAGCCTTCATGCAAGGGCAGGGGCACACTGGTAACTTGTACCTAGTTCCATTTCAAGACAATCATAATGATCAATTTGTACGGCTGATAGGAAACCTTCCCGAGGTGTCACAGCACAGCACAGCACAGCTTGGATGCGGTTATGCTGCCGAGACATTTAACCAAGAGAAAGAGAGAGAGAGATTGTTTTAGCGAAGCTCCTGCGATTCGGGCTGGGGAAAGCTACCTGCCACACTCCCTCCTCCACTTTCTGACAGGGTGAAAAGGACACAGCTGCTGCTCCTGTGTCTGTCATTTATGTTTTCCCAACTCCAGAATCGTATAAAGATGTGAGGAATTGGTGGAACAAAAGGTGCCTCATGCAGAAAGAAATAAAAGCCCTGTGTATTATTTCTAGACTAGAGGCAGAGACTGGGGGGAGTAGAAACAAGGAGACACAGAGAGCCAAGCTCACAGCGACACACTGCTACGAAGCAGCTCTTTGACCTTGGCTGGTCAATCAAACCATCTCATCTGTAAAATGAGGATAATACCACCCCAAAATAGTCTTCCTCTGAGACTGTTTTGAGCATTAAATATGATGTGACATGACAGAGCATGTGACACAGTGCCTAAAGCGTAATAGATGCTTAACAAACATCATTTCCTTCCTTTTGCACACCCCAACTCCCATACAAAGGATATTTATGAGCCAAAATTTCTGATTCTTACAAACTACAGCCACAAGTTTCATCCAGAGACAATGTTGTCCCATGGGAACATTTGTCAAGGTCTAAAGATATTTTTGGTTGTCACAATTGTGGTTGAAGGAGGAGGAGTATGCTACTGGCATGGAGTAGAGCTAGGGATATTGGTAAACTTCCTATAATGCATAGGACAGCCCCTCATGACAAGGAGAAAGAAATCCAGCCCACAGCCACAGCACTGCTGAGGCTGAACAACCCTGGCTTACAGGAAGGGCAGAGTGAACCAGCCCTTGAGACGGAGGCATACCAGCAAGGACCCAGGCTCAGCAGCCACCAAGCGCAGCTCTGATCACTCTTCACTGCGGTACCCTTAACATCGTAGGGACATAATGTGCAATAAAGCCGCAGATTTCCAAGGGCTCCCATGGAGAATAAAAAGGAAAGGTGAAAGGCTCAGGCTCACAATTTCCTTCCTCTCGTTTCCATTTTAATCACAAATACATGTGTCTCCAGTCACCCTCCTTTATTGCCAGTTGCTGGAGAGTTAGCAGTGCTGGAGTCACAAACAAGAGCACCACCTGCCCTCGCCCACAGTTCTGCCGGCTGGGTCCGAGGATCCAAAGGCCCACGAGATAAGCTCACGCACGATGGCACAGTGAGGCATGCAGGAGCATTTCACGTTGTCGTGATGAGTAAGTGTTATTATTCACTAAGTGCTTACTCTGTGCCAGGCAGGGCTGGGAATTTACACAGTATCATCTTCTGTATCCAGACAAGCCTGAAGGTAGGAAAGTAGGGAGGTGAGTAGGTTGGTAAGTGGGAGAACAGGTAGGTAAGTAAGTAGGTAAACAGGCATGTAGATGAGTTGACAGGTACACAGATAAACTAGTAGGTAGTAGATTAGTTGGTAGGTAGGTGAGTAGTAGGCAGATAAGTAGGGAGGTGGAGAGTGGGGAGTTAAGTAGGCAGATCAGCCAACCTGCACTTTACAAACCCATGCACTGAGGCTCAGCATGAGAAATGACTTGCACAAGAGCTCGAAACCGCTGAGTGACAGAGCTGGGTATGGACCCAGGCCATCCTTCCCTAATGCACTCCAAGTCTAAAGATGAACAGGAAACATTTTAAGCACCCTTGTTGGTCACTGCTCTGACCCACTTCAGCCTTATCTGCATTTTTATTTATTAGGAAAGAACCCGTGAAACTTGGAGCCATTCATAATGCTGAGAGGGCTTGAGAGCCATCCCCTTTAGCACTTCTCAGCACTCAGAATCTACCCTGCTCCCTCCTGGAGAAGCTGCGCAACTAAAGCAAAATTGGTCCAGGCCCCGCTGGAGTTCTCTGTGACTCGGCACTCCCATCCTCACTCCCAAGTGAAAATGGCCAGCAGCTGAGGTCTCCTGAAAAAGCTCACTCTCAGAGAGAGAAGCCCATGTCTGGGATTTCATCAACATATTTTTGTTTTCTCTAAACTCATTTCAGATTTTAAAATCTGGAAATTATCTCATTGTTTAGAAGCCTAGACCATGGGAGGGCTGCTCTGCATCTAGCATCTTCCAGGGAGCACCTCCTAGGGTCCCTGAGCAACACAACCTGCAGAGGCTCTTCTGGACCCCAGGAGAGCTGCTAGAGAAACAGAGCAGGCGGAGTGGCCGCAGGTGACCACAAGAGGGCCAGGGGGTTGGGAAGAAGGAACACAGAAGCACAACAAGCTAGGGGATAGGTGAGCCTCCTCACAAGAGTGACAGAAAGGCAAATTCTGAAGGAGCAGTGGGAGACAAAGCCGGGGAGTCAGGAAGTGGGTAGAAACAAAACAAAGGTGAGGGCAGAGGCAGGAGCACACAGTCCTAGGAACAGTGAAGAGTAATGTTGGTTAACTCATTATAGAAAATTCTGGAAACTAATGTGATGAGCCTGCCCCCATCCACTCCAACCCAGCCAACAATCCAAGGGACCAGGACCCATCTCATTCCTTCACTATCTCCATGGCTTCACAGCTTTTGTGCTGTTTTGAATGAATCTCAGATATCAGATCTTTCAACTGTAAGTATCTGCTGTGGAGAGGAATGTTGTTTTTATGTGAAAAATTCCTGAGGTCAGTACTGCAGTTATAGATGTGCATACAGAAGCCTGGAGCAGACTGCCTGCCTCGGGACACAGAGCTAGTGAGTGGAAAAGCCAAGACCAGAAAAAGACAACTGGCTGGTAACTCACTCTCCTCACCACACCTCCAGCACCAAATCATTTCAGTCCTCTGCAGACACAGGTCACTCCGAGGCCCAGACTTTCTCAGGTCCTGGGGTTCTGGCAACCTCTGTGTGATTTTTGACAAGTCATTAAACCTCCCCTAGGTTTCATGGGCTCGTGTAAAACAGCTACAACATTATCATTTACCTCACAGAATAGCTCTGACAATCACATGGGAATACACACAGAAGCATCTCCAAGCATATAATAAAATACTGTAAAATTTGAGTATTATATTTTATCCTGATGTTCTTGCCAAAACTCGACCAAAAACAGAAAAACCTGTTAAGCAAGGCCATTACCATCCAGGTACTTTGTAAATTTCCTAAGCAAACTGGCAGGGCTCTGCTGGCTCGGAGGCCACCAGCACTTCCCATGCCCATATGCACATGTCTACCCTCAGGCGCTTGTGACATCCAAACAGAAACCCTTACCTGTCTGAGTTCTGCAGAGACTTCACCAGCTGGGAATAGATGTCCCGCTCCTTCTTTAAGACCTGCATTAGCTCCTCATAGTCTGCCTGCTGCTTTTCCTGGAAATAACAAAGGAACCCGGCATTAGGGAAAGAATCTTAAGAGTGCAGCTCTATAATAATCAAACATATGTGGTCATTTCTGGTTTTTTAAAAACACAGGGAGGTAAGGCCCAGCCAGGCTCTGGCTCAGATCACAGTCAGACAGCACCACCTGCAGGAGGAGTGGGGAATGCCCGCCTCGCACAGTTGCATCTGGAATGTCCCCCAAAAGCCCATGTGTTAGGAACTCAGTCCCTTGGGTGGCACCACAGACAGGCAGCAGAAACTGAGAAGTGGAACCTAGTGGGAGGCCCTTGGGTCATTAGAGGCTTGCCCTTGAGAAGGGCCCCTCCTCTTTTTTGCTCGCTCGCTGGCACTGAAGTGAGTGGTTTGCTCCACTGTCTACCTACTCCCTGCCATTGCCCCCCGGTACCCTCATCAGAGGATCTGGCAAATCTTGCACTGAAATCTCCAAAACTGTGAGCTGAAATGAATCTTTTCTCTTTATAAGTTACCTGCATCAAGTATTTTGCTATAGTAATACGAAGCTAATGCATTTACCCAGCACAAGGCTGAGAGACATGCACCTAACACCCAACAGCCGCTATGAATCATACACCTTATTTGCCCAAGATAAAACTATCACTCCTCAGAGCTATTGATCTTCATTTTCACAACACTAAAAAGAAAATGTGTTGCCACACTTGCTCTTGCTCTAAAGAAGAAAAATCCATAAACTAAACCCTAACAAATCGTGGGGTCAAGGAATGTAACATGTTCCTGCCAGCTTGAACCCGTGGTCCAAACTGCATGGCTGTCTTAACTGGAAGCTTTTTATTAACTTTGTTAGCAAAAAGACTGATAACAATGAGTAAATCCATTTGTACCACCACTGCTACAAGCCTCCTGATGAGACAGGCATCCATGTACCACTGGTGGTTCAAGCTGCCCCACAGTGAGACATGAGTTATGGCCCCATCACGAACATATTAGAGTAGGAAGTCAAGTGAGTGGCATCTGGAAGGCATCCAGACCACAGAAAGATAGCTGCATGGCTTTGGGTAAGCAGCTGATCAGTCCTCTACTAGGTACAGTCCCCAGTTTTATGAAATGGGGATACAGTTTGTGAACGTTTACAACTGTGAGGTATTTTTTTAAGGTTAAATTTTGGCCCTGCCACTTACTAGTTTGGCAAAATTACTTACCAGTAACTCTGGCATTTCTACCTATAAAACAGTGAACAATAATCTCTACTTTATAGAGGTATGCAGCAGATTAAAGAGAAATTGTGTACAACAACATTAGGAAACAGATACAATTGGACTAGTTCCAATATTAAGACAAGGGAAATTAGGGACAGCAAAAGAAATGATCCCAGCATTCTGTTGTGCTAGAAAATAAAGAAAGCGGGGCTGGGGATTTAGCTCAGTGGTATAAGCGCCTGCCTTATAAGCAGGCAGTCGTGAGTTTGATCCCCGGTACCGATAAAAAGGAAAAAGACAAAAAAAGAAAAGAAAGACAAGCTTACACAGTTCAATGCCAGTTGCCAGGGACTGAGGCAAGGGGAAAGGAGTTATTTTTAAGACATAAGGTTTCAGTTACACAAGATGAGTAAATTCTGGAGATACAATGTATAGTATGGTGACTATAGTGAGCAATACCGTATCACACACTTGACATTTGCTAAGAGGTAAATCTTAAAGATGCCCCCAAAATTGGCAACAGATATATTAATTAACTTGATTATGGTAGTTATTTCACAGTGCATACAATATCAAAATAACAAGTTGTAACACCTTAAAAATATAAAATTTTTACTTGTCAATTATACTTCAATGAAGTTAAAAAAGAAATAAATTATGAATATTGTCAACATGACACAGAAACCAGTTTCAAAAGGCTTTCACCAGCCAAATCTGGGACAATCTGAACATCAAAATAATGATAATGATGGATTATAACCCACTGAATAAAACAGAAATTCATGAATCCATACTGACATGAGTGAGTAAATAAGAAGAATTGGCTTTTCTTTATAGCAAAATGATAATTAATAATGTAGAATGAAAGATGGAATTAGAAGCATCACCATTTGGCAATCCTCATAGTAATAAATAATTCAGCCAAGAAACATAAAAAGATGATAAAACTAGTAGGTGAAAGCTTGAAGATCACAATTTATACAGACATAAAATACTTCCTGCAAAATATTTATTTAATACAAAGGAAAAAAAAGAGTAAATGGTCAAGATCCCTGACAGACACTGCCTTGTACACTTTTCAAAATCAGGATGGCTGGGATAATAATGGGACAAGCTGAAATCATGTACCACTACTAGACAAGATACAAGAAGCACACAGCACTACTACTGTGATACCCCCAAGATGTACAGACTAAATCTCACAACCAAAAGGGAGCTCAGAAACTCCCAAACTGAAGGGCTTCCATCCACCACATACTGGACACTTCAAAGGTTTCGAGCTCATGACTGTCAAGAGAAAACTGCAGAACTGTCTCAGACCACAGACTGAAGAATCAAGACTGGAAAGAGTGAGGCATGATCCTGACCCGACTCTCACTGCAAAGAGCATTACAGACAATGGATAAACTACACAGGAGTCTGAAGATTAGCAGGGAGTGTTCAGCCAGGGCTAATTTCTTGGTTGTGGAGGCTGTCCTGAGTGTCCCTGTTTAAAGGGAAAATATACCCTGAAGTATTGGGAGAGACAGGGCTTCAACTGGAACTTTCCTTCAAGTAACTCAGAAAAAATCCTTTATTCTTGTAAATTTTCTATAAACTTGTAATTATTTCAACACACAAAATAAACACTGAAGTTAATGTATGCAGAATACCTAGCACAGTACCCAGCAGGGATACGGTACTATCCAAATGCTGGAGAGAAAACCCCATTAATGGGCACCACAAACAGCCTTTATAATTCACATTATGATATCAACTTGACGAGGGGTTCTCAGCCTAACTAAAACCTCAAGGCTGCAAGAATGTGAACAGAAGAAAATATTATATGTTTATTTCCATTCACCTGGATGAAATTTAGCACACCTCTCAATTATAAAAACTGGTACTGCTATCAACTGTCGTAGTACTAGCGTTATCCTGGTGACTTGATCATCATAAGAAGCACAGTTCTTTTATATGTAAAACACATACCACAAAATATCACAAGATATTTATTCTTATCACTGCTTCAGATCTATAATAGTCATTACAGTCATGGTCTACCATTTTACAGCATAAGTTTTTATATTTTGAAAACTACATTTCAAAATGTTTAGTAATTCCTTCATAATTCCACACATTTATTTTGTGTACTGATAGGTTTCCAGGGAAGGGATCCTTGGCTACAGTTAGGCTGCCAAAAGGAAGAGGAGGAAGAAAGGCTAAGTCCACAGACCCAGGAGCACCCTGCTGTGCTTCCAGTACTAATAAAACAGGCCCTACGCAGCAACTGTCCAGCAAGGCTTTCAGTGCTGTTAGAAATGACAAGACTGGTGTGAACCATGCCACATGCCACTGGCACAGGGGCTCCCAGATAACTCTGCACACCAACACTGTGTCTGTCAGGCTCTCTCAGCTCCCAACCTACACACAAACACCTGTGCAGCCAGAGCAACCTGAAGAAAGTCACTCAGGCTGCAAAGGACATCAAGACAAGGAGATAATACAAGAACAAGTCCTCAGCATGCCAGAGCTCTGCAGGATCCTCACAGTGAGTCAGCTGCTACTCCCTCCCCACGCAGAGAAGGCAGGGTCATAAGGTGGGGCATGGGCCATAAATTAAGGTGATAATCTATATACCACACAGAATTGCTAAAATGAAATGAGTTAATCTACAGACGCTGTCAGAACAATGCCTGGCAGGGGGTAAACATTTGATAAATTGCTAGCTGTCCTATGTTCCAGGTACTATGCTAGATCCTTTAAAGATATTGCCTCTAGCACAACACTGCAGAGTGCTAGATTAGTCTGCCTATTTTTCGGTGGATGAAACTGATTCTCTGGAAGCAAAGATAATTTGTTTCCCAGCTAACAAGGGGTAAAGTCAGAGTTTGTGTTTGTAACTTAAAGCTGACCAACAAGGGCTAGAAAAAAAAACAGGTAAATGAAGATTTCTGGTGGATGGAACAGAAACTTCAGAAACACAGCACATGGAGCACATGTGCTCCCTCTCCCTGGGTCCCTCCATGTTGACTGAATCGCACGAGGCTGGGCTCTAAGCTCTAGAGAAAAACCCCACTACCACATCGAGGGACTGGGTGCACACACAGTTCAGCTCCTTTTCCTTCTATTTCCTGGTAGCTAGCTAGTACAACCCTCAACAGGGTCTTCAGGCCACCACTCTCCTCATCCTGCCCTCATCCCTTTGTCCTGCCCTTCCATCCTCAGGTCACCAACAAGTCCCTCCACGCAGGCTTCCAGGAGGGGCATGGACTCCTCCTCACTCTTCAAAGTCTGACTGCCATCATTTACCACTCCCCACTGACACACTCCATGGCATCCAGAGCTGGACCAGATCCCCAGAAAACCTTCCTGCCCTCCTCCAGGCTCCAGAGCACTGGAGTTCAATCACCTACTCATAGTCTGAGCACCTTGCCAGCTACAGTGTCCCAAGCCAGGCACAGTGCCTGGCACAAATCAAATGCTGCCACAAACACTTGCAGAACTGATGATTAAACAGGTGAGAGGGGAACACAAGGAGTGATATGAATCTTAAGAGCAGAGATTCCTGTGGATATTTTGCATAATGGAAGTCAGAGTGAGTCAACGTCTTCCTAGAAGCAAATTGCTCACCCATGTTAAATAAATGAACTCTTCAGAGCCATTTGGGTCCCATTTCATCAATCACCTATTCCCCTGCGTTGAATCATGCTCCATTAGAATGAAGTCATTTGGCTTCCTCAGCATCTGACTACCCAGTAGATCTCCTCAGCACAGAGGGAGAGGGCCAGGCTGCCCAGGGGGAGAGGCACTCAGTTTAATCAGGGGGATAACCATTCTCACCCTCTACCTTGCCCCTCCAAACAACAAGCAGCCGAGACTGGAGGCCTCTCTCACAGGGAAGACCTGTCACTGCTGCACATCTACTGTGCACATGACTGCAGCATGCTCTCCACAGCAGGGCGAAGCTCTGTGGTTCAGTGTCCCCAGGGCCACGTCCCAGAAAGATGTCTCTCCTTTGTAAGCCAGGACCCAACCCCACACTAACGCACAACAACTCCCTCTTGCAATCTCTCAAGGAATTGCAAGATTTAGACAGAAACACAAGACATCAGAGAGTCATAGGGGCTAAGTCATGTAGAAGTCAGAGCCCATGTCCTCTGCTGTTGAGATCCAGACCTTCCCCAAGATGTGGCTACTCAGTGTTTGCCTGGTATCTGCAAAAACATCCAGTATGTCCATAGTTAGGACACCTTGGTTTATTCAAGGTTGGCTTCCATAGCTTGCACTCCAAAGTACTTTATCTAGTACACTTATATTATTTCTAATCTTCTCAAAAGAGAGGCATCTAATTTCCACTTCACAGATTATGGAGGTGCTTTTCAGAGAGATTAACTACTTGTCTAAGGTCACAGGGCTGGTAAATAGCAGGGCTGACATTCTGACACCAAAGCGCCTTCTACTTTCTACTAGGCCATCATTTCTTTAACAGCTTGAAGGAAACACATGTAATGTGCAGGCCACAATCTGAAGAGGCAGCAGATGTGAAAAGAGAAACTTTAATGGATCACTTCTTGGCAATCAAGGCAATTTAGTGGCCTAGTAAATAGAAGGTGTTTATTTCAGTAGCTATGTCCTGCAACAAAGACATTTATTCTAATACTTGTAAAATTCAGCAGCAATGTCCCAAACACGTCAAGAACCAAAGTATAAATCTCCGGTTTCAGCAAGTCAAAAGTCAAATACGGTCAGGGTGTTTTACTCTCTCTTTTTCAATTCCCTTATCATCTAAGCATTAATTCTCAGGATCACACAATGATTAGAAGGAAAGCAGACTGCCCAGGCTCTATGGAGACAGCATCAGAGCCTCCAGCTTTTTGTATAAATGGACAGAGGAAAAATTCTCAATCAACACAAAATGACCCAGAGCACAGCAGAAGAAATCTACATTTTCTACAAAAGACTACAATCTGAAAAGCATCAAGAGTGGAGAGCGTAAGTCTGCAACAGCTGGGATTTCTTTGACACTTAGAAATTTATAATTCTTATAATAATTTCTAATTCTTTACCCTTAATTTGCAATTAGTACCGCAGAACAGAATTAAAACCGTTGCTAAAATGCTTCAGTATTTGTCACAGTAACTTAAACATCACCAGGATCTATATATTACCAAAATGCCTAAGGAATGGCTTTCAACTTGTGGTTGGTTATAAGCAGTACAGATATTGTGCAGCACAACAACTAGAAGCAAAATGGCAGAGATTATAAAAGTGGTGAGATTAAATATAAAAATGCCCTCTTCAATAAATTTATAAACGTTTTCAACACACACTTTTTTATGACTAAAATATGATTCAAAATAATGACATTTAACTAAATGCATTCAGATTAGTGAAACTATATCACTGATAAAGAGAAGAAAGAGGAAGAGAAAGAAAAGGAGGAGGAGGAGGAAGAGGAGAAGAAGAGGCTGCAGCGACAACAGCAGCTGGGCTGCTATCTTATTTCAAATCCACTGTCTTTTTACAGATTAAAACTAACTCTGGTCAAAAATCAGATAATAAATTTAAGTTAGATTCACAAAATATTAGCCCTCTTAGACTTTGTCACACTTGCCCAAGGTTACCTAAATAAAATGACAAAGCTGAAACAGAAATCCAGAGCCCCAGATTTCTGGCCCAACCCTATAGTGGCACTAATCCATGTTGGCACTCTCATGAGCATCAGCAAAATGCAAATACACAAACAGCCAGAATTAAGAATGAGTTCCAACTATTCCTGGGGACATGACCAGGTCGGATACTGAGCTAACATAATGGCTAGTCCTGGTTGCTACAATACTCCTCCACCTGTTAGAAGCCCATCCACTTCAGCCACTCCCACTGCCTGGCCCCACACTGTGGACTCTAGGGCCTGCCCCATGATCCATTATCTACAGAGGCAGAGCCTGGCACAAGGGCAAGTCTTCAGTCCCCACTTCAGCCCTTCTGCCCAAGTCTGTTCTGAGGCTGAATCTGACCCACAGTTAATTCTTTTCCTGTCCCATATCTGGTTGCCTGGTTGCATTATTCATTCCCTAACTCAACCAACAGCTGTAGAACCAGGCACTGGGCTGAGTATTGGGATTCAGGGATAAGTATGAGTTCCCACTCCTACAAGTCTGCCCTCAGTGCTGAATAGGGGCTCAGGTGAGGGAAAGCAAACACCCAAACAAGGAGCAAGTGTGACAACAGAGGGGCCTCTAAAGTGCTGCCAGCCAGAGGAAGAAAAGGTGTCACAGTGCAGCCGGGTCAGGGAAGGCCCCTTTAAAGATGACACTCAAGTGGGTCGTACAGGGATTCTCAGGAATCAGCTAAAAGACAAGGAAGGAAAAGCCACGCAGGCAGATGGAAAAGCACAGAAAAAAGGCACAAAAGACCTAACATGGCGTTTTCAGCAATCTGCAAGAAATCAGCTATTGTTGGTCATGAAAGATGCCTTGGGGCTAGATGACAAGGAACCGCTGTATCATTTTTCATGGCATTTGAACAGAAAAACCTCACCACTTGGGACCACATAGTACCAGAGAGGTGATCCTTGAGAAAGCAAATATGAGGCTTTTCTTTTAACAAGCTGTGATTTCTCGGTTTCACACACAGGGTGAACACTGAAGACTCAGCTGAAGGATGCTAGTCTGCATGGTAGCTAGATGAAGAACTCCCTGTCCTACCTGTTGTGAGCTCAATTATCAGAAAGGAGGCATTTGAGGATGTCTAGATCAAAAGAGTTATCAGATATGTTTCAGAATAGAATGTGAATACATTGGCATGTGAACATCCAATTTCAGTCAAGCTTACCTCCAAGAAGATGAGTTTGCTGCCTGGTGACTGCTGAGAAGAGCGCTTTTCTGTTATTAAGCTTTCATTCCTGAACTCAAGATCCTCTGCAGACATTAAATAACGGTTCCGCTGTATTGCTTCCAAATCTTTTTCATTGAATTTCTAAGGAAATGAAACAAATCATAAGAAAGTTCTCATCAAGAAAAAAATACTAAGAGATTTTCCTAAACTCTGTAAAGGAAGATTTTTTAAAATTTTGTTTCAATACCCACAGGTCCCCTAAATAATTTCCATCATCCCAAAATATTAGGCAATTACAAAGTAATGTAACTCCATTTCCAAGTTATTACAACAGAGAGAGCAGCAGCATTCCAGCAAGGCAGAATCAGGGATGGTGGCACTAAGTACGAACCCTCCTTACCTGCCACTACTGAGACTGCTCTTCAGTGGGGGGTGGAAGATAACACGAGGTTCTGACTCTACTCTGACTGAGTGCAACTAGTAACACTCCTGGGGCCACCCTAGGGTTTAATCTCAGGTCTGTTTCCTATTCTGCTGGCCTACTGGGATTAGAAGGCTTGTACATTAAAATCCAGCACTGCAAATTTCACAATGTTTGAATCATTTAGATCCACAAGATCTGATTTTCAGAAAGAAAAAAGCAAGGACTGCAAACCAGTAGTGTCTGGTCACATCTAAAAGGCTTTTTCTTAATGACACACAATATGATCCCCACCTAGAGGTGGAAAGCTTTCCCCTTTGGAAAGCTCTGAATCCAACATGACAGGGCTGGGGACCATTTTTATGGTCTCTGGCCAAGTTCAAGCACGGACTGTATTTCAACCATTTAAAACTGGGAGGCTCCCGAACTTGGTTCTATTTACACTCTGTAGGAATCAAGGGTAAGAACCACAGCTTACTCCTCAGCCCCTAGCATGACTAATTGAACTTGGAAAACATTTAGAAGAAGTCAGATGAATTCAAGGAGAGAGAAGCAGAAGCAATTCTTTGTAGGAAACCACTGAACTGTAATAGGAAGAACTAGGACTCAAACACCCAACACCAGCTTTCTAGAATTGCCTTAATACAGCTGTGCTTGACTTACACTTTCATTTTCATTTTTATAAGCTCAATTATACACATGCAGTTTGTCAAATGGCACCGTGTAAGGTTTAACTGGTAAACAGTAATTCGCCACCTCCCCATTTCTCACCTTTTAAGTTCCACTTCCAGAAAAAAACATGCAACTCTGTTTCTTCAGCTGTTTATTTCCCTCCTTCTATATTATAGTCTTACTCTCAAATTTCTGAATTTCTTGAGCTTTGGTTTTATCTACTGGTTCACATTATGGATTTCACTCTCGTATCATCTGCACCTCAACACTTTTCCTCACAATTATAACATAATTTTAGTCAAATCAATATTCCACACTTATATTTTTATAGCCATGCAAATAATGTTCAGCCAGTGTTCCATGATTACATTTCCATTTATGTTCCATTCTTTGCTTTCTTGGAACTAGTAAATACTGTATCCTATTTGTTTACTTGGTTTATAAAATTTAATTATGTACTAAATGTAAATTTATCTCCACATTCTCTGAAACAACTTAAAACACATCAGGTAATCAACCAGTTCCATTTCAGTGTCTTGCACCTGTCGAAGCAGACTCCCTCCCACAATGGCCCAAACCTGGATTCTCCACGAGTGGCCAGCTTCACCCTATGACTTCCCTTTGCCACATTCCAGAAAAAATCCCTACTTTCTGAACGCCTGTCTCTCTCCCTCCCTCTCTTTGCTGATTCCCTTTTACTGGAATCGCGCTCCCACAGCCTCCTCCAAGAGCACACTGGAGGTAAACGACTGAGGATAGCAAACAGCTGGCAGTACCTTTAATGTGCCCTCGCATTAAAGGTATATGACAGCATGGCTGGGGCAGAATGCTAGACTGGAAATCACTTTTCCTCAGATCTAAACGCACTGTTGCTCTGTCTTGTGTCTGTTGTTGCTAAATGCTGATGTCACAGGAGGTCCAGGTCTTTGTCTGTGGCCTACTCTGTCCTCCCTCTGGAAGCTCTACAGATCTTCTCTTTATCCCTGTGTTCTGAACTCCACAGGGACCAGCCACGGCACATGTCTCTTCTTTTCTCCTTGTGCTAGAAATAGAGCAAGCCCTCAATGCATAGGAACAGCTGTCCTTCCACTCCGGGAAACAGTCATTGCCTGGAAATTGTTCTTCCCTCTGCTTTGCCTGTTCTGTCTTCCTGGAACTCCTGTTAGCCATATTTTGGAGCTCTTGAATCATACCTGTAGTTTCCTTATGTTTCGTCTCCTTTGATCCCGTCTTTTGTGCATTTAACTCTATTTTCTGGGAGACTTACCCAACTTTATCGTCTAACACTTCTACTAATCACAACCATACTTTGAATCTACAACCATATTTTGAATTCCCAATAGGTCATTTTTCTTTTATAGGTATCTTTGAAAATCAGATCCTGATCTTATTTCTTATGATGTTACAATGTTGAATTTTTAAAAGTCATCTGATGTTGCTTTGTTTCTATTTCCTTGGTGTACTTTTTCCCTGTCTGTTTTGGCCTTTGTCTATCATCCTAAACATTTTTCTCCTGTTTGATGAACTCAGGTAATCTACCTACCTTCAAGGGTTACAAGTGCTCAAAAGCACTGTGAGTGTGAAAAGACCATGGCAACAGTGGCCTCACCGTGAGATGTGGGCACCAGGCTGTCTGGCTGGAGGATTCTCAGCTCTCAGCACCTTTCGGATTTTTCTCTCCAGGGAAGAATGTCACCTCTTACTCCCTCCCCACTTTTATTCAAGATGCACTTCTGCTTTCAGTTGCATCTGGTAACCTCTAGGCTAGAGTTCCTACAGTTTAAGGTCTCTGGTGATCTCCTGCTGGTGTGAAGAAGACATCACCTATCATTGCTTAAGATTCCAGGGCTGGGATTTAGCTCAGTGGCATAAGTGCCTGCCTTGCAAGCAGGCAGTTGTGAGTTCAATCCCCGGTACCGATTTAAAAAAAAAAAAAATCCTAAAGATTCCATTTAAATCTGTTTTCAAAGGTATCAGGTTACACCCAAAACTTGTTGAGCCTTTTTGGAGTTGTATCATAATCAGTTTGCTTCTTGTTGGCTTTTCATCCCCCAAACATGTACAGAATGGCAAAAGCTGAATCCAGTGCCGTTACCACTGCTCATCCATCCACTTATCCAAGACTGAGCTGCCACTCACACCTTCTGTTGTACCTCCTCCTATTCTCCTCTCATAACCCTTGAGGCTTTCCACAGGACGCAGAAATCGATATCTATGTTCAGTTCATCATGCTTACTTGTAAGTCTGGGTTCAATTTCAAAAATTCATTACACACCAAACAAGAAAGGTATTCCAAACTGAAAGGAACAGTCGGAGAAGCAGAGAAGAGAGAAGGGACAGGTCCCAAGTAAGGCAGAGGCAGTATTCCCAGCAAAAGTACTTGGTAAGTGGTGTGGGCACCAAGCAGAACAGGCCAGGCACCCGCTGCTTAACCACGACCCAGGATGAGTTCTTCCTTCTGAGTTTTGTTTCTCTTACTTCCCCAGTTGACTAAGGCCCAAATGATATAAAGAACATTTAATGTGCTCTAAATCATGGCAATGAAGGCTAAAATCACAAATCTTCCTGCAAAAGAGGAGGAAGGCATGGCTAAATTAAAAGATCTAAATACAAAAGAAGTTATGGTACCTCAAGTAACAAGTCTTTCTGACTGGCACTTTCTGTCAGATGTTTGATCACTTGTTCTTGATTATGCAATTTTTTATTGCTTTCACTCAAAAGATTCTTATAACAATTCTCCATTGCTTTCTCTCGTTCATTTACTTCATTGCGTAATTTTTCAACTTCATTTCTTAGGTCCTATTAGAAAACAAAGAAGAAATGGAATTCATTTATAAAAATTTCAAAGTCACAATCACTTACATTTGGCTTGCCAAATTACTGCTAGAAGACAACAAGTTAAAGATATATTTACCAAATACACACTTGCTTCCCATTTAGAGTCTTACAGAAACCAACTTTTAAAAATGTGATCCCAGAGATCCCAGCACTAAGGAGGCTAAAGCAGGAAGAGCACGAGTTTGAGGCCAGTCTAGGCTACACAGTGACTTCAAGACCAGCCTGAACTACATAGCTAGTGAGACCCTGTCTCAAAACAACAAAAAGAAGGGCTACAATTTATTATACATACACGACATTTAAATGAACCATTTAAATGCTTACATAATTATCTTCAAAATAAAAGTAAAATTGAAAGAGTAAACAGATGAATCTATCAAGTTGACTGGTTATACAAACAGAGGAATTATTTCAATAACAGGAATGCAAAGTAGTTGTACACATCCCTAGTAAAATATTTATATAAAAACAGAGGGACTTCAAAAACCTTAAACTGTTTTCAGTAATCGTGATAAAGTTAATATTGATGCTATTATTCTGAAATTGTATGTACATAATATATATTTATTAGATAACTACATATTAATCTCATAAGAACTAAGATTTTTTTTTGTATGAGGAATCAAATTCACAACCTCTCACTTGTGAGGCAAGCATTGTACCACTGAGCTTTATCCCTGTCCAAAAACCATGATTTTAAGTATCAGAAAAGAAATACAAAAAAGAAGTTAAACTAAAACTTGCAATTCTAAATTTGAATTTTAACCACCAATATGAACATATTTTATTTCCTTCCTTCCACTGAGAAAGGCCAGACGTAGTGTCTTCCCGGGTATCCAAACTGTTATCCTAACTCCATTTCCTACCTAAAGAGCAGAATCCCTTAAAGCAGTGGCTCTCAAACTGTAGGCCCTAAAACAGCATAATAAGCATCACTTAACGGCTAACAATGCTAATCTGGGGCCCAACCCAGACCTACTAAATCAAATCTCTGCAGCAGACCCCTCGGTCTGTGTTCTAAGAAGTCTCCAGGCAATTCTGATGCACAGTCAGGTCTGCATGATGATTGCAAACGTGGAGCAGGAATGCATAAGATGTATGCCCAGAGATCCTTTCACACCCAAAAGAAACTACCAAAGATTACAGGGTTCACATCCCAGGAACTCAGCCATCAACTAGGATAAGCTCCTTCTACTGTCCAAGGATTAAAAAAAAAATCAGAATTTTAATAGGGATAATAACAATGGATCCAAATACATCAAAAATCAGGACTAGGGGTGCAGCTCAGTAGCAAAGTACGTGCTTAGCATGCACAAGGTCCTAGGTTTAATCCCCAGAACCAAAAAAGGAAAGAGAGAAATCTATAAATTCATAATCATATTTCCAGAGTCAATCTGATAGGTGAAATGACAGTATGCCCAAAATGATCACATGCTAATTTTCAAATGGCAAAAGCAAATACAAGTAATAAATGGAATTTAAAGTCATTAATTAATTGACCTCAAAATAGAAATGTTATTCTGGATTAACAGGCAGGTCCTTAACCAAAAGGACTCTTACACTAGAAGGGGATTTAGCTCAGTGGCTCAAGCACTTGCCTGGTAAGCGTGAGGTTGTGTTCGATCCCTGGTACCAAAAAAAAAAGAAAAAAAGCAAAGGACACTTACAAATAGAAAAAGGAAAAAGATTCCTTCAACTATTGCTGATTATGAAGACCAGTCTAGAAAAAAGGCATCCCGTAGAAAGTGGAAAAGACAAAGAGAGCTGGGGCCTTCGGGAAGAACACAAAACCACCACCACCGGGACATGGTGAGACCCAGTTCAGAACTCTGACTTCCAGAGCTGTAAGACTCTAAATGTATGTTTTTAAGCCACCAATTTCCTGGCAGTCTGTTGCAGCAGCACCAAAAGGCCAATATACCAGCCTCTGGACAATCGTACAGAACTCTTCTTTTTTAATCTTTCTTGAATGAACTGCAACAGGGTAACTGTATAGACAATATAAAGTATCTTTGAACAAGCAGTCAGCTACCAAAAAATTGAAATGAGATTATCACCACTTTGCAACATCACAAAACCCATGACAAATATTTAGAAGCAACAAAGAAACTTTAAAAATTGAATGCTAAATTTTTTCTTAAGCAAAATGATAAAATTGCCTGGAAAATTTACCCCCAAACAAATAAACCAAGAACCTATCATGAAATACAAATAGAAAATAGAAATTCAATTCTGGATGGGCAAAAAAGAGTGTTTCTTTGTTTGTTTGTTTGAATTACTTGAATAGTCATTCCTCGGTATCTGTGGGGACTGATTTGAAGACACCTGGGGGATACAAAAGCAGTTGCTCACGTTCCTCAGACAAAATGGCACAATATTTATATATAACCTGCATACTTTCAGTCATTTACTTGAAATCATCTCTGGATTAATGCCTAAACAGGATATAAATGGTGGTTATGTTATTTTGTTTATGGAACAATGACAGGGAAGTCTTTATGTTTTCAGTACTGTGTTAGATGAATTAATGGTCAACACCCAGCTGAACTGAATCAGTGTGGTGCTACGTGGGGAAGGCCCATATAAGCACTGTTGCCACCAACATAAAAAGAGAGCAGGAAGGTGTTGGGGGAACCATTCAGACTGCTTCAAAGCTTAGGGGCATCTAAGGACACCTGAGGATGTGACCCCTGCTTGTCTAACACAGGCACACAGTGGGACAGTTATGTAACCATGACTTAGCACAGGTTATGGCACTATGTAAGAATGGAAACATGAGAAAGCAACCTGTACAAGAATTATACAATGAAGACACAGGCCGCCTTGCTTGCCCTCTTCTGCTCTGCTCCATGCTGCCCGCTTTTGTTGCTGATGTTTTAACCTTGGGACCTCATCCACGAAAATCTCCTTTGCCTGCCCCACCGCAATCAAGCTGATGAGAGGAAGATGGTGTGCTGTTGATTCTCCTGGAGAAGCCTGTCATGCTGATTTCCTGGTAAGAACTCTGCTGTTACTATCAGAGGAGCTCAGGTCCTTGCTGTCAGTGAGGATGTCTCTGGTTCTCACTAGGGGAGCTCTGGTACTGACTTTGAGTGTGGCTCCAGTGCAGGTCTCTCAGCGTGCTGGCTTAGATCCTTCACCCCACTAGCACTAACTCTCTAGCTTCCACCACTGACCTTTGGGCCTTTCCAATGCAGATCCTTGACACAGATTTGCATGAGACATTGCCGTGGGCTCTAGGAGTTCAGCTGGACTCGTGCAGGGCACTGCTGCAAGATCCAAAGCCTTGGTTGGATTCTTTGGGTCTCTAATGCGTGGAGAGATCTCCTGCACACTTTTGCATCTAACTCCTCGGGTGAGTATTATAAAATAATCCTATAAATTATTTGTCCTGTATCAAATCTTTACACTTGTAAACCTTGACCTCAAGTACAGACACACTTTTTTTCAAACAGTTTTGATCCTAAGTGAATTGAATACATACATGAAGAACTCAAGGATATGGAGGCCAAATATAATAAACATAAGGCAGCATAACAGAATTTAAAAAAAAAAATTAAGATGTTTCCCAAAATACAGACATGCCAACAAATTAAACCATTTTTAAACAGAATATTCCTTTCAGTCATTGTCCATCTGCAGCAATAATTTTCAATATAATTTTGACTTTGGTCTGGAATTTTCCCAATTTTATTTATTCCATTATACAAAGACCTACCAAAAAACAGTGACTAACTAATGAGAACATAAAATGGAATGAAAACAAAAAGCAGAATATAAAAAGCACATAAAATCAAGAAGTTTTTGAGAGAATTTTTGCGGTGGTGGTGGTGGTGGTGGTGCTTTTAAAGCAGAGAGATGAGAAAAGGTCTACAGAAAGGCCAGACCTGAGATTCTACCTCGGCTCAGCCACCCCTGTAGTCCCAAAGAAAGGCTAGACAGGTCATTTAGTGGAAGACTCCACATAATCTTCACATTTATCTATGTTAATGAACATATCTTGATTCACTTATCTGTTTCCCCACCATCTCCAACCAGTTTGCTCTTACATGTAATATAAAAAGAGCAGTTCTGTGCTATTACAGTTTGCTTGTTTTTTTTTTAATTATTCTTTGACTTTCTCGGTTACATCCCCAACAGTGGAATTACTAAGCTAAAGATCAAGCATGTTTTGAGGATTTTTTTCTACAAACTGACAAACTTTCTTCTATAAAGGTCGTGGACAAAATGCTTCCACTGAAGTCTAAGTTTTTGGTTTCACCACATCCTCACCAGTCATTACATTACATTATTATGTTTTACGTAAAGGTTTGCTAATGTGATGAATACGAAATTGTTCTTCAAAAGTGTCTGTATTTCCTTGACTGCTGTTTAGATTTCACCTTGTGCAAAACTGTCCTTGAATAGCAATATGTTTGAGGGCAGTTTTAACAAAAATTTGATCTCTCAAGAATAAACTGAGATGTGCAGACAACAAACTTAAACTCATCAGAAAATTTACCAGGGCAAAGTTAAATCTTATCAAAGCTATGAGAAGAGGGATGAGGACTCACCTTTCAACTAAATGTACTTCATCCTAGTTTGTCTCCACAATTGTGCTTGCTGCTGAGTGACTAATCAGGACAAGGATTCCCACCAGTGCCAGAGGAGCAGCTGGGGCTGAGGAGTGGGTAATGGAGGAAAGGAGGGCAGGGGATGGAGAGCAGGGGTAGCTTGCACACCAGAGCTCTCTGACAGTAGACATTACTACCAGCCATGTGCTGGACACTTGTCCTACAAGGTCCTCCACCAGCTGGACCCAACTACCTATCTGCTTCTCCTCCTGCTACTCACACCCACCAGTCCTGCTCCTGGCAACCCTGGCTTTTCTTGCTGTTGTTCTTATACAACAGCTAGGCACCAGTTCACAGCCTCCACATTTCCCACTGCCGAGGCTCAAGGGTGTGTCCCCACGTCCTTCA